CCTCGATCTCAAAAAGATATAAATAATTTAAAGACAAGCCAATTTTCATCTTTGATTCAGGATACACGTGGCATTCCTCCCCTCACAACCAAACTATAATTGATCCCAGGGGATTCGATTTGACCTCTTCTACACAAGTTAACATCATCAACCAATGATCTAATAAATAACCTCAGATATGTCAGATAATTTTAGCGAATTTTTTAGATTTCTTTCATATATGTTAATGACATCAAGAAACATTCTGACAAACAATCTCGGATAGGTCATACATCCTTAATGAATTCTCTCGACCTCTTTCACACAAGTTAACGTCATCGAGCAATCGAGCAATGCTCTGATAAAGAATCTTGGGTATGACAAACATCCTTAATGAATTTTCTCAGTCTCTTTTATGCATGTTAACATCATGGAGCAACACCTGAGAAATAACATCAGATATATCAAACATCCTTGGTGGATTCTCTCAGCCACTTTCATGCAGGTTAACATCATCGAACAATATTATGATAACAACCTCAAATATGTCAAATATTCTTGATAGATTCTCTCGGTCTCTTCCACACAAGCTAATTTCATCGAGAAATACTCTAAAAAATAATCTCGAATAGGTTAAACATCCTTGATTGATTCTCTTGGTCTCTTTCATGCAGGTTAATATCATCAAACAATGCTCTGAAAAATAATCTCAAACAAGTCAAACATCCTTTGTGGATTTATCTCAACCTCTTATTATCATTGAGCGAAGCTCTAATAAACAACCACACGAAGGTCTCCATATGTGATAACCTTAAAGGGAAGCTAGTTGAGGATAATATCCTAAATAAAAAGACCCCACAAGGATAGGTGGCATATAAGGTCTACACTCGTAACCCTAGAAATACTTGCCCATGAAGTAACTTTAAAGGGTATAGTGTACAATATCATAAGAAAGACTCCATGAGAACAAATGGTTGATAGGGTTGCCACTCATATAAAGACCTTAGCATGCTAAAAACCTCAAAAAGCGCAACTCGCTCTTATTATCATCATCACTAGAAACGAAAGGAGAATCCTCGAATGCCTAGCTAGAAGTCAGCCATCAATGGCTGAAAACTTCTTGAATTCTTTTATAACTTTCAACGATATAGCTTCAATACAATCTTTAATGTCTAATATGGTTATTTCCCTCATTGAGAGGCGATCTTGTAATTTATTGTTCTCTTATTCAAGGATTTCTTTATCAGCCTAAAGGACACTCTTCTCTATTACAAGAACCTTCAAAGCTTCCTTTATATGGTTTATGTACGAGTTTTAATCAACTTGTGGCAAAAGAGATCATAATTCTATCATAATGAGGGACTCGCTCATCCCCTCTTAGATCTTTTTGGAGCAATAATCAGCACAATATAACACTTCATTCCACCATCAGATTGTCAAGCCTTCACTTAATTAACAACATGAGTATGTCGTTATATTATTACAATCAACAAAGTATTTGATCACCACCATCAAGATATTTGCCATCTGCCTCAATTAGCATAATATCTCCAACAAAATGAAGCATCTTTTTCATCAAGGAAATATTGTTGCCATGATACGCATTCGATTATTTGGTACTTTTAGTATATTACTAAACTGTCATCATCGGCCATTCACCTCATATAATCCATCATCAAAGCCCTCACTCGATTACTATTAGCAGCATACCCTCCAAATGTTACCATCAATTTATTGCCTGATTGTCAACATCAGAATATTAACTAACCACCTTCATTAGGTTTTCATTGACAGACTATCTGATTCCATGTATCAAAGGATCAATTTAAGATTGCTAGAACTCTTCTCGATCATAAACCATTGCCAAACTTCTATCTGTTTGGTGACAATCACTGATTCTCCTTCTGGGTGCTACTACCGCCAGACCTTTCAAACAATCCTTTCATTAATAGGTGATTGATCTTCTTCTATCATGAATAGTATATTGAGAGAGTAAACTATCATTAGGACTTTTTTTTTTGCACTGAAAAAGGCATTGAAGATTGATAGAAGATGTCACCTATGCAAGATAATGAAATACCTCTAATATGGGAAAGAGTTTGGGAGACAAGAAGGTGAAAGAAAAGAAAAACTTATTCTGCACAAAGAGGACACCGAAACTTGGTTGGAAATATTGTCTATAAAAAATAGTTGAATGCATGTAATAAGGGAAGAAGACTGGATGGAAAGAAGATGGAAGGAGAATAAATTATCTTCTATAAATAAAGGGGCACTAAAATTAAATAGCGGATGCCATTTATCCAAAAATAGGGAAAAGTCTCTATAATATAAAAGAGTTTGAGGGAGAAGGCTTATTCTACACAAAGAGAAGCAATATAACTTAAAAGAGGATGCCACATATTCAAGACAGTGAAAGACATTTATTGTAAAAAGGCTGTAAAAGGAAAGGAGAAGAAAAAGAGGTGCAATCTTCCCCTACCCCCAGGGGATATTTATAAGTGTAAAATGATAGAAAATTGTTCCAAGAAAAAATTTAAATTTTTTTGAAATCTTTTTGAAAATTTTCAAATTATATATATAACAGAAAAAAATTAATAAACTGCGATTGGCGGGATGGTTTGCCCGCGACATCCAAGCGTCACCAATCGTGACTGCATTGGCGGTCGTGGACAAGTGGGAATGCAGGCATACTGACGTACCTTTCCGAGACTGAAGCTGAAGTTGGGGCTTTCAACGGAAGGGAATACCGGCGAGAGAACCTGCAAAAGGTTAGAGCATAAGGAAAAAACCAATAGAACAGGAATTGGGGTAAAATTACTGTGTATTTCTCTGTTTTACTATCACTGATATTTTGGTATCATATAGTTCTTTCCTCCGGCTAGTATAATTGCCGTTTCTAAATAAGGGAAAAGGAAAATAAGAGAACGTGCACTAATGGAAAGTAAAAATAGAAAGTGATAAAATATTGTAGTAGTGGGGCGTGTGTTGGCATATGGTAGTCCTGCGGAATATGATAGTCCCATCAGTCCTCCCCCCTTCAGAAGAGCTGCTCCTGGGCGACGATAAGGTAGTATTGGCATCATCTGGAGGATGATAAGTATGAATGTCCGCTACATTAAAAGTGGAGGAAGTTTGAATGTGAGTAGGCAAATCGATAACATAAGCATTATCGTTGATCTTCCGTAAAACAGAAAACGGTCCAATCTTCCGCGGACTAAGCTTGGAGTATGTCCCAGTCGGAAAATGTTCACGCCGCATTCTGAGCATGACCAAATCCCCCGGGTTGAACACCTTATGCCGCCTGTGTGTGTCCGCCAACTTAGCTTCTTATACTTGGCATTTGATTTGTTCAACTTAGTGTGAACCTGCTCTATAATATTCTGGAATTGCTGAGCCGTTTGGGTTGCCACTGTACTGCGGCATTTAGGAATAACAGCAATGTCGACTAGGTGATTAGGCATTTTGGTGTAAACGATGCTGAAAGGACTGTGTCCCGTGGACCGGTTTTGCATGGAATTGAAGGCGAATTCAGCTTGGCTTAGCATCTCTTCCCACTTCTTGGGGTGATCTTGTACAAGGCATCGTAACATGCTCCCTAGCGTGCGATTAACGACTTCAGTCTGCCCGTCAGTTTGGGGATGGTAGGCGGAGCTGAGCTTGAGATCAGTCTGCAGTCGTTTCCACAGTTCGCGCCAAAAATGACTGATAAATTTAACATCACGATCGGATGTGATGCTCCGTGGAAGTCCATGCAAGCGAATGATTTCCTTAAAAAATAATCTGGCTATATGAATGGCATCAAAGGTCTTTTTACATGGAATAAAGTGCGCCATTTTGGAGAACCGGTCAACAACTACCATAATGGAATCTGCCCCATTCCGAGTTCTTGGCAATCCAAGAATAAAATCGATGCTAAGATCCTCCCATATGGAATCGGGCGTAGGGAGGGCCATATACAAACCAGTATTCTGTGTCGTGCCCTTGTACTGCTGGCAAACAGAACATTTCTCCACAAACCGAGTAACATCCCGAGCTAATCGTGGCCAAAAGAATCGCACCTGTAGTTGGGCAAGAGTCTTCTGCTGACCCACGTGAGCGGCTAAGCCACCGCAGTGAGCTTCCTTAATAAGCTGCTGATGCCAAGAGGAATTTGGAATGCACAAACAATTAGCCATGAATAAGAACCCATGCCTCAAACTGTAGTCGCTGTTTGGCACTCCATCCACACATTGCTTCCAGAAAATTGAGAAATCGGCATCAGTTTCATAAAAATTCTTCATCTCCTGCAATAATGTAATCTCTGTTTGCAAACTTATTAGCATAACAGCTCTTCGGCTGAGGGCGTCAGCGACTCGGTTCACTTTGCCCGCCTTGTGTTGTAACACAAAGGTGAACTTTTGAAGAAAAACTATCCACCGGGCATGCATGCGGTTGATATTTTTTTGATTGTTGAGATATTGAAGAGCTTGATTATCACTGCACAGCACAAAATCTTGATGGAGTAGATAGTGTTCCCACTGTTTCAAGGCGCGAACAACCGCGTATAACTCCTGCTCGTAGGCGGACCATTTATGCCTTGTTGGACTCAAACTTTTCGCTGAAGAATTCGATTGGCTTATATTCTTGGGATAGCACCGCACCAATGCCAATAGAAGAAGCGTCAGTATCCACATTAAAAGGTTTCTCAAAATTTGGTAAGGTTAGAACTGGAGCGGAGCAGAGCGCCGATTTAAGAGCTTCGAAGCTGTTTAGTTGCTCAGTGGACCACTTGAACCGATTGGCTTTCAGACAGTCGGTAATGGGGGCGACGAGTACGCTGAAGCCACGTATGAATCATCTGTAGAAGTTCGCTAGCCCATGAAAACTCCTTATATCAAACAGTGTCTGTGGAACCGGCCATTTAAAATGGCTTGGACCTTGCGTGGATCAACTTCGACGCCATCCGCAGACAACACAAAGCCCAGGAAATGAACTTTGGAGGAGGCAAACTCACACTTGGCTAAATTTACATAAAGCTGATGCTAATACAGGACTTGAAATATTTCGGTGAGATGTGTGATGTGGTCTGCCATGTTAGTGCTATAGACTAGGATGTCATCGAAATAGGCGACACAAATTTTTCCGAGGAAAGGTTGCAATACCTCGTGCATTAACTGCATGAATGTAGCTGGGGCATTACAAAGTCCGAACGGCATCACCTTCCATTCGTAGAGTCCATCACGCGTTTTGAAGGCGGTCTTCCACTCGTCGAGGGGCCGTATCCGAATTTGATGATAACCGCTTCGCAAGTCAAGTTTTGAGAAAACAGAATCACCGGACAAGCGGTCAAGCAGGTCGGACACCCTGGGCACCGAAAAGCGGTATTTGGTTGTAATTTTATTTATGGCGCGGCTGTCAATGCACATGCGCCATTGTCCATCCTTCTTAGGAACAAGTAGTGCGGGAACTGCACACGGGCTCAAACTATGTTGGATCAATTGCTTGTTGAGAAAATCTTTAATGATATTCTGGGGAATGGAATACTCCTTGGGGCTCATGCAGTAATGAGGAAGATTCGGAATGGTTGCTCCGGGAATGAACTCAATTTGGTGCTGTATCGAGCGTAATGGAGGAAGTCCCGAAGGAAGTTCGGCTGGAAAAAGCTCTGCGAATTGTTTTAGCAATTTGCTGATTTCAGTAGAATGGCTAGGTGGTGGCAGAGTGGAATGACTGTCCGAAACAATTAGGGCCATCAATGCTCGACTATCTTGTCGGGATTGAACTAGTAATTTGCCAGATAGAATATATGCAGCCTCTGTATTCTTTTCCTGTGATGAATTTGTATGAGGGCATAACCGAAGTTTCTTTCCTTTCCATTCAAGAGTATAAATATTTTGCCTGCAATTAAAAACAGCATCCATGTCATATTGCCAAGGTCGGCCCAAGATGAGATGACAAATATCCATGTCAAGTACGTCGCATACGACTTCGCACACATAGTGTTTTCCAATAGAAAATGTGACTCGGCACATATCAGTGACGGTCACTTCCATTCCTTTTCTAATCCAGCTAATTTTGTATGGTTGCGGGTTGCTGGTAGTCTTAAGTTGTAATGCCTGCACCACTGATCGAGAAATGACGTTCTCCGTGCACCCGCTGTCAATCAGTAGCTCACATACCTTTCCTTGTATCGTGCACCTCGTCTTAAACAGAGCATTACACTGAGAATGACTTGGGCTTTTAGGTGCTATCAATAATTTTTGTAAGACACACAGCAGTGGATCCCCCTCGTCTCCGTGAACATCCTCAAAGTCAGCTTCTGGTGCCAGTTCAAAATCAGTTGGTTCAGCTTCTACTCCATGTATTTCTCCCTCTAAGAGCTGGATTCTTTGTCGATTCGGGCACTCATTGGACTTGTGTCCGGGTTGGAAACAACGAAAACATTTAAGAGTAGTAGGTCTACTATATGAATTTTCTCGTGGAGGAGCTGGAGCTTTACCTTGTAATTTAGCGTCAGCGGATACGTTGGTATTTTGAATTGGGCTAGTAGGTACCCGTGTAAATGAGACAGGCTTTTCTGATGTAGAACTTGCCTTCACGTTGTCTCCAGGTGGGTCAATATGTGACCGTATGCTAGTGTAGCTGCCGGATTGGCGGGCTAATTGCATTTCCACTTTCAACGCGAAATTCACTGCTTGAGATAGAGTCCAAACTGAATTGAGCTCTAACTTATCCTGTATCAGCTCCTTTAGTCCCCCAATATAGCGGGCAACCAATTGAACTTCCGATTCTTGGAGATTATTGCTAGCGCTCAACCGATAAAATTCCTCCGTATATTCGCTGACGAAACGCTGTCCTTGTGAGCAATGCTGGTATTGCAAGTAGAGCATTTGCTCATAGTCTGTGGGCAAGAAATGCCCTCTAAGTAGTTGTTTCATACGAAACCAACTACGAATTGGCCCTCTTCCTTCCCGGTGATTCATTTGTAAAAGCTGTAACCACCACGCACTAGCACCGCCCTTTAGACGACATGCTACGTACTTCACTTGTTTTTCCGGGCTAATCTCCATATAATTAAAAAAAGCTTCCACGGCTCGTTCCCAATCGAGATAATCCTCGATGTGTAATCTTCCTTCAAAGAACGGAATATCCATCTTGATGCGAAATTCTCCCTGGCCTGTTTGATTTGCCCGGTGGTGTCTCGGACGCTCGCAATACTGGAACTGTTCATCATTTCCAGAATCGGTTAACTCATGACAGTTTGGGAAGTCATTCTCCTCCTCAGAGTCCAAAACTTCCCTTATAACTGGTCTCGGAGCGCGACATTGCCCAGCTCTACCTGGCGGACCTCGCGGCACCGACGGCGCTGTTGTTGGTTGTGGAGCTCGTCCGAGGGCATTCCCGATTGAGGTTTTGAGGTCTAACATGTCGTTGCGGAGGTCTGTGGATAGGCGGAAGAAGTCCGCCCTCAGTTCATCAAGTTGCCGATTGATGCTAGCTTGCGCTGCCCATACGGCTTCCAAGCTCCGATCATCGTCTAGAGCTTTACGAGAACTCTCTGCAGCCATTCACCCGATCGCTGGCTCTGATACCAACCTGACGTACCTTTCCGAGACTGAAGCCGAAGCTGGGGCTTTCAATGGAAGTGAATACCGACGAGAGAACCTGCAAAAGGTTAGAGCAAAAGGAAAAAACCAATAGAACAGGAATTGGGGTAAAATTACTGTGTGTATTTCTCTGTTTTGCTATCACTGATCTTTTGGTATCATATAGTTCTTTCCTCCGGCTAGTATAATTGTTGTTTCTAAATAAGGGAAAAGGAAAATAAGAGAACGTGCACTAATGGAAAGTAAAAACAGAAAGTGCTAAAATACTGTAGTAGTGGGGCGTGTGTTGGCATATGGTAGTCCTGCGGAATATGATAGTCCCATCACATACGCATGTGTCAGGTCCGGCAAACGCACAGGCAAGCAGGGCAGCGTGCATGCAAGCTCACCGGCGACGATAGTGGCCACTCGGTCCCCCGATTCCATTCTCAACTTATTTTTGGCCAATTTTTTTGCCCAAGCAGTCCATTTTGATTTTTTTTTATTCCCTAAAAAATCTTTTTGATGTTCTTGACATAATTTTAGAACTTTTGGGCTAAATGGGGCATCTACAATGAATTTCGAGCAATTTTAAAATTTTGGAACACAATTTTTTAACATTTTTCACTCCAATCCACTCACCAACTTTATGACATGCTCAATTTATGATTAAGTGTATTCTACTTGGTTCAGGTTCATGTTGATGTCTAAGGTGCAGTTGCGCCTCATAATTACCTAAAAATTGTATATTTGCATTAGAATGACTTGAAGAGCTTCGACATATGTGGGCTTCAACGTCAAAAAATAGAGGGAAACTAATGTTATCTTTTTAAAAATTTATCTTGATTGAGCATGAAAATGGAGGTAAATTTGCATTGGAAACTTTCAAAAATTAAATTTCACGTCATCTGAACTCTGGTTTTAGTAAACTTATAGTTAAACTAAACGTCTTAAAAATTTTTAGATGTTTGTAGGAGGGACATTTGTTGTATAATTTTTCAAAGGTTGTTTTGTTGTGAAGAGTGGGAGTTGGCAACCTATTGATAAGATAGGTGGCCGTGTGCAATGCTTCAATCCAATACACAGGAGGAATATTTGAATGAATGAGCAGGCTTCAAACTGTTTCTATCAAGTGTCGATGTTTTCTTTCGGCAACACCATTTTGAGATGGTGTGTGAGGACAGGTGAACTGATGATTGATGCCATGATGAGTGCAATATGTTTTGAAATTGTTGTTCATATATTCTCTGCCACCATCAGTTCTAATGGTTTTAAACTGACATTTGTATTTATGAAATTTTATGAATGTACAAGTTACTTCAGATTTTTGAAATAATGGAAAAATCCAACAGTATCTGGTACTGTCGTCAATGAAAGATACATAGTATCGATAGCCTTGTACAGATGTCGATGGTGATGGTCCCCAAAGATCGGAATGAACTAATTGAAATGATGCAATGATATAAGAAGTTGAGGTGGAAAATGGTAGTCGCCTGTTTTTAGCAAGGCAACACGTATTGCATGTATGTAAAGTAGAGTTACAGATATTAGAGTATCTATTAGCTAGAAATTGTAAAGTGGTAGCAGCCGGATGCTCTAAACAATTGTGCCACAGGTCCGGAATGTTTTGAGCTGAGATCAAGGCGAGATGTGAAGGTTGAGCGGCGGGATGGATTCTGTAAAGGCCATTATGGCATGGCCCTTGTAGTAAAAGACGATGGGTCTTCGAATCCTTTATTTGATAGCCGTTTGAGGAAAAGGAGATGATACAGTCATTATCAGTGGCCAACTGATGCACTGAAAGAAGATTGAATGATAGGTTTGAAACATGATGAATATTGCAAAGAAGAAGGTTAACTGATGGTATAGGGAGAAGACCACGATCGATATTTTGGATTGGAAGTTGATGCCCATTGCCGATGACTACTTGAGATGATCCACTGTATGGCTCTGAGGAATTCAGTTGAGATGAGTCAGACGTTAGATGAGTAGAGGCCCCACTATCAAGAAACCAGACAGATTGGGAAGCTGTGTCTTGAGTCATAAACAATGCACTCTGTGTGCCTGTGTCTGTGTAGGATGGATCATTTCTGTACCAACACCTAATCGCAGAATGACTTGTTCGACCACAAATCTGGAATATAACATTTCGATTTGAGTTTCTGTCTGGACGATCTCCTCGTCCTGATGATTGATTCGTTCGACGACCTCTGCTACCGCGAGAAGTATTATGTCTTCCTCGGCCTCGACAGCCATGGAATTGTCTGTCAAATTCAGTGATTGAATATCACGTGTTGCTTCGGTAGCCAGAATTTGCTCTTCACTGCATAATAGGCTGTAAAGGTCGTCTAAGCTCAATGGTTGCAGGTTGGTTCTAATTGTTGTTTTAAAAGATTGATAAGACGTCGGAAGGTTATTTAATGTGTAAAAAATCACATCTTCTGAATCGATATTGTGGCCGGTGGCTGTAATGGCGTCGATTTTGGATTTCACCTCGAGGGGATACTGTGTCATCATCTTGTTGCCTTTAGAGAGGTGATGCAGCTCACTCTTTAACTAGATTATTCGAGATCGATTTGTGGCTTGAAGTCTGTGAGACAGGGTCGTCCAAATATCATGACAATGAGTAAGCGTCAAAACGTAAGGCAGAATCGATGGTGAAATCACATAGTATAACGCCGCTGCGAGATTTTGATCGGTGAGAATCCAGTTTTCGCATGAAGTTGTGATGCTGATTGCAGATGATCCTTCGGACGCAGACAATTGCATCGGACATTTTGATGAACCGTCAAGAAAACCTTTAAAACCATTTGCGATGAATATTTTCTCTACCTGACAGCTTCAGATCGAGTAATTTTCAAACGTCAACGAGTGCGGAATCAGATTCTTGATGTTGCTCATCAAGAATTTGAGCTGTGGTGGAATCAGTGTGACAATGATACTAGATGAATTGGACTTCATCGTTGGTGAATTGGAGGATGATGCGACCATGAAAGCGCAGAAAAAAGAAGCGAAACTTTAATTTCTGCAGATATCTCTCTGATACCATGAAAACTGCTATGCTATGCCAATGAGGCTCGCAGTTGACGTGAAGCCATTCAAACTAAGAATGAAGAAGAAATCAAGAAATTGCAGGAGAAGGTAATATTTTCTATGTCTGTTTCAATCGTTACATCGATATTTATAAATGAAATACAGAGACATGCTGTAACGGAAATAACCGTTTTGGCTGCTGTACACGAGCTAACTATTTGTTTCATTTTTCATGTCTTGCTTAGCTGAATAGCTGTCAACACGCTCAAGCATTCGCTCATCTCAACTGTTCTGATGAACCTTCAAGCACAAGTGAAATACCGGCAGCTATCAGGTCTCTAAAGGAGAATCCTGAAGATTTTCTTACCCCACCGCCGTCTATCAGATCCCTAAAGGAGAATCCCGAAGAATTCCTCACCTTACCGTCGTCGTCAATTCCTGATATTTCTAGCATTGTTAAGTTCTTCACGTTCCCTTCATATCTATTTACCGTCGTCGTCGATTCCTGATATTTCTAGCATTGTTAAGTTCTTCACGCTCCCTTCATATCTATGTATGTATTAGTTGCTAAAATTCTTGTGGGTGAATAACTTATCTCAAATGAACAATTAAATGATTTCATCGCTGTGACTTCAATGTAATTTCCTCGTCTACGCGCCTCCGCTTCCCAACTTAATTATTTCAAACGTTGATCATAAAAACTTTTAGCACTTTTTCCTCCATAATTTTCATTACCTCATAATTAATATCACATCATAAAAATAACCAAAATCAGTGCCCTCTGAAACTCTCCAACCAAAAGACGATCAAAATTTTTCTCGGATCAATATTGTACTAAATATCTGATTTGATCATCAATGTTAGTTGATCTATCTTTTGGTTGACCAAAATATTTCATCGACATATGGCAAAAGCATATTTATTTTACTACCTATATTGGAAGACAAAACATTACAGAAATTCAACCTCCATGTAAAATCATCACCGCTTAAACCAGCAGCAGACACTTTGGACAGATCGCAAAAGGAAAACTAAATCACACACAGTAGTTCATAAAACTAAGCACGCATATGACTCTAGCAGACAACAAATCAAGCAAAAAGCAGCGGCAATTCGAGACACAAACCAGCTTGCTCCATTTCTACTCTCCAGAAATCTCAATAGACTTCACCTCAGGCTTCTTGACCTCCTCCTTGGGCACGAAAACACTAAGCACACCATTCTCGATGGACGCTTTCACCTGATCAACCTTCACGTTCTCAGGAAGTCGGAATCGGCGAAGAAACTTACCGCTGTTGCGCTCGATGCGATGCCAGCGATCGGTTTTCTCCTCCTGTTCCTTTTTCCGCTCGCCGCTGATCTGAAGAACTCCGCCTTCCACGACTTCGACCTTAACCTCCTCTTTTTTTACGCCGGGTAGATCGGCCTTGAATATGTGCGCCTCCGGCGTCTCCTTCCAGTCGATGCGTGTGTTGGCGAAGGCCGACGCCTCGTTCGCGTAATTGGAACCTGGAGCGGAGAGCGCGTTGTCGAAGAAGGAGTTGACACCCTCGAATGGGTTCCAGATGTCGAAGGAGGAGGGGTCGAAGATGTTGCTCCTGCGAATGATCGACATTGATTGAATTGGAGAAGAATATGCGAAGGGCTTAAGATTTGATAATTGTATCAGCTCGATTTTGGAATGATAAAGAAGGAAGAAGGAAATGAGTATTTATAGAAGAGAATGGTAGGAAGCGGCACCTTCTCGAGTATTCTTTCACCTTCTGGGCTTTAGTGGACAGCGTCAGTAGTCGACTTGGAAGCTTCCAGTTTCTTCCAGACGCGGAAGCGGTCACGGGCCGAGACGGGCTGAGCTGCTAATAAATAACTAAAAATCATGGGAGTTTTTTTTTAACATTTAGGTCAGCAACAAATTAAAAAAAATTCACACACATAATATATGCACCACT